TCATATTCGTTGGCAACTGACTCCGAAAGGGTGTCGAAGAGTCGTTGATGAACATTCAGTTGAAGTAGGTCAGTCAACTGAAATAATGAGCGCTTACAGAGATTTTTTCTTGTCTTCGTAAATAACTGAAAATCTTATCAAAACCTTTGATCCACATCAATTTTTATTTTTACTGCTGTTAGCTGTCGTATAGTGTTTCAAATATACATTTAAGAAGACTGAGTGTATACGAAAACCCAACCTCAGGCGTGTTGAAACTAACATTTCAGCCATACCAGTGGCGCGTGCTCCCACTATACCGAGGAGGTTACCGTTTTATGAACACTAATTCTTCGATATGAACTATTGAAGGTGTTATCAACCAAGCATTAACGGGTTTGCAGTGGTAAGCACATCTTGACATTAATACTGTGGAGCTGAGAGCTTGAAAATTGAGGTAGCACGTGCTCCCGCTTTGGGTCAAACTCAGGTGCAACCCCCGCCCAGTTTGAGTTTTCGTGTACCACTGAATCTTCTCAGATGTACATTTCTCATTGGTGAAAATATCATCTTATGCGCTTATGTTCTTGAGGTTCGCCCCTATACGAAATAAAAACACTGGGTTTGTGAGCTGCTACCTGATTTGCTCGAAATCAGCTCACTCTAGCGTATCCAAGAACTGCCTTTGGTGAACATCTATAAATGCCCAGAATTGTTATGCCTACGATACGTGGGTCAAAGAAATGACGTCTTCGATGATCGGAGAGTCGTATGTCGTTGTAAAGAGAACAGATGAACGCACTTATTGGGCGAATAAGGTATCAGAAAAAAATCTGTTATTTATGGGGAATGAGCAGGGTTGGGTTCAACTTCGCGAAACGTGGTCTTTTCTGTGAAGTCAACATTTTCAGTGCACGTATGCTTGAAAAGCAGTTTGGATGATTAGATGAAACGGACAATGATGATGAGAAGTCTTTCGTTCCAAGTGTTTTCTCAAAACCACAGCTCAAATATCAATATGCCTCATAATAATTTTTTTGAGCCACGCATGTCAGTGGTCTGTCTAAGAGGGCTGACTTATAGAGCACGATACACATGTTTCGATCTTGTGATCTCGTCACTCGGGCAGTTACCCTTTTTCGTCTTTTGGCAATCCTGTGTGGGTGCTCTAGTCCCCACACTAAGAGTTAGCGACGACGAGCGTTTTACACTCTATGTCCAGTGAAAATCTCACCAACCAGAGTGTTGTACACTCGATTACTCGTGGCTAGTATATTCAACATATCATAACTTTCGTTCGAGTGTTTTCTTAAGACCACAGCTCAAATTTCAATTGCCTAGCAATCATTTTGAGCCACGCATGTTAGTGGTCTGTCAAAGAGGGCTGACTTATAGAGCCCGATACTCGTGTTTAGATCTTGCTCTATGTTCGGTGAGATTTTCACTGGACATAGAGTATAACGGTATGTCGTCACTAACTCTTAGCGTGAGGAGTGGAGCACCCACACAGGATTGGCAAAAGACGAGAAAGGGTAACTGCCCGACTGACGAGATCGCAGGATCGAAGCACGTGTACCGGGCTCTATAAGTTAGCCCTCTTCAATAGACCACTGACATGCGTGGCTCAAAAAAATGATTACCAAGCAGATGATAAGAAGTATATTTGAACCGATTATCAACAATATGAGGGTGTTAATGTGCAGGAATATTTCTAATCCACAATTCCAAAACCTTCCTGAACGAAGAATGTAAAGAGATAGATCAAATGGATGAAGTGTTGAGACTTTTACGATATACATGCAAGGTCATGCAAATGAGTATATATGTTTTTTTGAATGTCATGTCTGTTAATCTGATCATATGTTTTGAGCCTTCTATGAGGTCTGGTATTGCTCTTATACAGTACTACACAACTGCTACGCCTTTACAGGCTATCAGTAGAACGGTGCCTTTCGATTCAACCAATACCCTACTTATTAAGACTCGACGCCGAATTATTCAAATAACCGCATGTCGAGCGACAAAATCTTCCGACATTACAATGGCTACAATCGAGCGCTTATGGCTGGTAGAATGAATCATACCTTTACTTTCGACTGTTCATATAAACAAGCTATATAGATTTATTTAATCCAACGTCAATTTCTCCATAGGTAGAGAATATACGACCTGCAAAGGATCGGCTGAACCGAAAGGCACCGTGCTACTGAGGGGCTTGTAGTAGTGAAGCAGCTGCCCAATTCTGTATAAGTTTATACCATATCCCATAAAAGGCTCGAAAAATGTCATCAGATTATCAGATTATTATTGTTTTCGAGCGAGGTCTATATGAATAGTCGGAAGTAAAGGTGTAGTATGTCTGTCCACTTCTATCTGTAACGCTGCTTTATGCAGCAAAGACACAAAAAGATGCGTCAACCGTGAGAAACTTGCACATTATCACCCTTGGACGACCTCTGTTGAGGTATGACTGGCACTCACAACATAAAGCCGGAGTACGAAGCTTTGATCTTCTAACTCTGCATGACGAAAGCGCCAAGTGGAATAAGGAGTTTTGTCAGGTTTGTGTTACAATATAGTTCAGAAGAGTACTGGCAACCCACTCCAGGACTAAATGAGCTCCAGTTCTCAAAACATTCGATTTTACTCATTTTACAGCGATTTTTTGTAGGAACGACGGACTAAAATGAAGACTATCTCTTGTTTTTTTTTTTCATAAAGCAAGAAATGTAGATAACGCTATAGCTTGTGGAAGAGTAGAAAATGAAGCAGAAATATGCGAAACTGTCTAAAAGAGATCATCTGACTATGCCTCACTGTGGATGAAATAGTGGCTTGAGGCAGTAAAGATTGAATGGTACCAAAATTGTATGGATTTCCCAAAATCTCCGAAGATAATATCTTGTTCAAGTAGCAAAATAGAAGTTCGACCCAAGCTTTTTTTTCCTTTGCACGCCTTTTTTTCAAACTAGGTTGAACCTCAATCCAAATCAGTGCAAAAAGCTGTTTGAGGATCACGTTGGATCACGTTTCCTTGGTATTACTTCTGAGTAAAGCCAGAAAAATTTTCTCAGAAAAAAAGGCATTTGGATGGCTAAGAAAGATGTTCGGTGATATCAAAAGTACGACCACGTGCTTATAATTGTCATCGTTACTAGAGCTGTACATCTCAACCACGAAGAATGTAAATCAACGAAGGACTATGACGGCCATGCAGAAAAACTTAAACAGCTTACCGTGAACGACTCGGTTTGCGGATGAGGCGATATTACCATAATTAAGAACAGTGCGATCACCAGTACAATCATAGCGTGTGGTCGATGGACAATTTTTTTGCCCACCTTTTTATGGATTCGAGTTTTTTGTGGCTTGACCGATCACTCGGCGGCGGCCCATTAATTTAGCGGGCAATAAAAGTGAATCGATCAAGTCAGATCGGGGAAGATACAGGATGTAAGAGTCACCCACTTCCGATTGTTATGTCCGCTACTATGAAATCACGAAAAGTAGAACCGGTCATTATAATCACAACATACCACGAAACGAAGCCATTAGAAACAAATGAGCTCTTCTAATGAAAAAAATGGATAGAATAACTAGCGTTTAGACAAAATGTGCATCATTGTCTGTATGGTGTAATATGAGTTGCGTAAGAAAAAAATTAGAAGGTGCCCACAACAGACACTCCATATTCGGCTTAGAATTTTATGATAATGTCCAGGATCCATTGGTGCACAGAAACAAACCACGTAGGTACAGGTCAGTAGATGTGATGCTCTTTTGCCGTCGCTTAAGCGAAACATACAGGCAGACTTGATGTGAGCTTATAAGAAGGCAAGAGATTTTGATGGTACTTACTCCAAAGGTGAACACGAACTTTGTAAACTGTGCTATCGTTGATCGCCTTAATATTTTAACTTCTTAAACAATCAGTCCAATTATGCTTAGCGGTTGTTAAATACAAGGCGAGCCTTGAAATAGTAATCTCGACGACAATTTACATAATTCAACGATCGTTGTGTTCAATATGCAGTGGTTCCTTTTGTGGATCTTAAAAAAAGGTTGTTCAGCCTAACAGTCGAACTTATCCCTCTCATACAACTTTCTAGCTATACATTTTCTTATAATTTGTTTTTATGTAGCAACAATGCAGTCGACTATTTCAAGAACTAGCTTGAGAACAATACAATCTGATAATGTATTTTGAACCTTTAAAGAGGTCTGTTATGGGCCCCCACACAGTGCAAATCACGTGTTTCTGCCTTGCAGCCTCATCAGTTACTCGATTCCTTTTCGTACCCCTGTATAGAGGAATCTACGACAAACTCTTCACCTTCTACATACGGTGAAACAAACGCCGTGGCGTTCTTTCAGAGCGCCGATTGTGATTGACTGTCGATTGTATGAGTATGGTTGTTACGTCGAGTGTAAAATCGTCGCCAATTCCTTCACATAGAGGCAGACCCCCGAGGAACTGCTTGAACGAAAAAGCATCGGGCAACTGACGAGCTTGGTAAGCTTTCTAGATCTTCATTGACTCTAATAATTCCTTTCAATTCACACATGAAATATTGATCATGCCGCTTGTTTTAAGTGTTTTCTCAAGACCACACTCAAAATCAAATGTATCTCATGATTTTCGAAATTTCTATTATTTCACTGCATATTTCGCAGTGTTATGATCATTTTTATACATTCCTAAGAGAACTGAGTGGTGAGCAAAAATACGACCTCAGGCGGGAATCGAACCCAGGTTACATTCTATCCGGGGACGCGTGCTCTACCACTACATCACTGAGGCACATTTGCCCCACCACTCATTCTCTTACGAATGTATAAAAATGATCATAACACTGCGAAATATGCAGTGAAATAATAGAAATTTCGAATATCAGTAATTAGAATAGCTGTCACCTCAACTGGGTTTACAAAGCGAAATCGCATACCCGACCAAACCTGTCAAAGGTTGGTAGCTGATAGCTAACATTGAGGTGTTGAAGAATGAGTGGTCGGGCAAATGTGCCTCAGTGGTGTAGTGGTAGAGCACGCGTCCCCGGACAGGGTGAAACGTGGGTTCGGTTCCCGCCTGAGGTCGTGTTTTTGCTCACCACTCAGTTCTCTCAGGAATATCTCATGATTATTAAATGTGGTCTGTTATGGGCTCTTGACCAACGCGATACACGTGCTTTGACTTTGCAGCCCCGTCAATTGAGCAGGTCCTTCATCTTTGGTCAATCCTCTCGAGGGTTCCTACATCCTCATGTAAAAGTAGGCGACGACGAACGACTTACACAGTTGCCACTAAGTGAATTAAATCACAAGATCGGCGTGTTTGCCACTCAATTGCTCTTAGCTGGTAATTTTGTAAAATCATACCGTTTGTTTCAAGTATTTTCTTAAGACCACGCTCGAAATTGAACATATCTTGTAATCATTAACAGGCCACATGTCATGCTGGCTCAAATAATAATTATAAGATATATTTGATTTTGAGTGTGGTTGTAAGGCAACACTTGAAACGAACGGTGCAACATATCAAAAATGCCAGCCAAGAGCAATCGAGTGTCAAACACTGCCGATCTAGTGATTTATTTCACTTGACAGCAACTGTGTGAATCGCTCATCGTCGCTTACTCTTTCTAGGGGATGTAGGGGTCCCGAGGCGATTGGCTAAAGACGAAGGGCCTGCCCGATTGACGAGGCTACAAGGCCGAAACGTGTATCAGGCTACACAAGAGCCCACAACAGAATGACCACATAACATGTTGGCTCAAATAGTAATTATGAGATATTCGATTCTAATTCCTTCCTTTGAAGGGAATAGTGCACGCTAAGCGACTTCGTCGCTCCATATCGTATCCCGTATAGACTATTCTCGTTAACTCAATATTATTTTTCCTAAAAAATTGTTGCTACAAAGTTGCGTTATGGTTTTTGAATAATTCTTGTGTAGTGTGTACTAATTTGGCTATCGGTCTTCGATGACGTTGGTGTATAAGCTGAGTAGAATTACTTTTTCCAAGATGATGAAATTAAGTAAAGTGGCGTCTTGTACTCTCGAGATCATGCTTTTCATAGGGTTCCTTCGTTGCACACATCCCGCGCTGGGCTTTTATTGAAGCACTGTTTGCACTCCCGTTCTTTCACCAGCTTTCTCTCAACCTATTGGAAGTTAATTCAAGAGACAAACTCGAAAACCCATAAACCATACTTCTTATCGAGACTGTCGGTTTCGATATCTTCGCAAGAACAAGTCGAAAAGCAACAATTTCAATTTATGAAAAAAGGTTCAATCATAGTGAAGACTTTCACGCTTCATTAGACGGCTTTAACTTGTATCAACCAATTTGGAACGTCCCTAAGATGCTTGTAAGAGTGTTTGAGATTTCTGAAAAAAGAGTTCGATTTTGTTCTGGTTGAGTTATGGCAAAAACACTTATGTGGCAAAGTCCATCGAAATGCGGTTACTGCTTTATCAATTATCCCACGCCATCGGTGTTGCTGAGTAAATCCGCGTTTAACAGAAAACAAACGACTGAGTACTTTGGTTTAATAACAGGTTTTTGAAATGAATCGATTCACACGTATTCATATCCGGTGACTTAAACTGTGTGTAGTGCCCCCTTATCCATTCCTTGATCATTGCGGTAAACCTGATCATCATTTTCTTAAAATGTATCCTCCAAACCTCAGGAAAGAGATTTGATGCTCGCCGATGCACATTAAGTGTTGCTAGTCAGCATACTTCTTCCAGAATTTGTAGTGTTGAGAGTTTTTAGATTTGAAAGCTTACGGCGGTAATTATCCTACTTTAAGCTGTCGCGGTGGGGCTTTTTCTGAGCAAAAAATTAGGATCTTTACTTCCATTGTTCTTGGTCGCTAACGCTACCGTGTAACTTATTGGACTCTGGTATTTGATGTGCTCACTGAGTTCCATGGTCCGAATGATAACTTACATGCTAAGAGTTATTGCAAACTATCTCTTCATTTAACTTTAAACTTTCGCCCGATTTCTTGTGGAGGAAACAATCTCTAACTGCTCAAGACCTTTCTGTATCACTCATAAAGAGATAGATTCTATCCAGCACATACACCTGTTTCAGGGCCAGTACATGGTCTATCAGTTTGTAACCCTTCACTTGCTACATACGGGTCAGCGGCATATCCGTGCTAACACCTGATAAAGGGATCCTTCAGTTGGAAGATGAATAACCAAAATAATCTGATCATTCAACTATATTAACAACACGTGATAGTTTTATCCGAATTCGTATTTTGTGAGTGTAATTGGATGGCACCGTCTTTTCAACGAAAAATGCATCACTTTTAGGGAAACTCTGCATTTTTGATGGGAAAATGAGGTTTTTCCAATTTTAGGTTTTTACAGCCACTGTTCAATCGCCGTTGCACCTCACAAAATAGTGTGTCTGGTATCCTCTACTATTTGTACCCTTCTAATTTCCTTGATTACCGATAACACAAGTAGGCACTAGTAAAGGCTTCGATCGTCCTGTCACACACGAGAACCGTTCGATGGGCTTCAGAGTTCAAAATGAGACTGAATAGAATTTATTTTCTAATATAATGCCTTTTGAACATTTTTGACTATGAGGTAACTTCGTATAGCCTACAAACCTCTGCAGTGAGCAATTCCTAAATTCTCAAATGAGAATTATCAAGATTTTCTTTATCTTAGGTGAGGCGAACTATAATAGACCCCCTCCACAGTTATACATCGTTACTATCTACTTGAAATTATCGACTAACCTTGACAAGACGATAACATATGATGGGAAGAAAGTCCAAAGACTAACATTAATTTTAGAACATTCTAATTATTCAGAAAGTCTGTGGAATCATAAAAGTAGTTTTTCGTTGAAGGACTGAATATTCGACCTCATTCGCTGGACAAGAACTTCTCACCTAGAGTGCTAAAAATCATTCGAAAGCATGAATCTCTGGCTAGCTCGATGGATAGCCGATTTTCATAAAAGTCTTTATTATAACGCTTCAATGGAAGGAGTACATTCATGTTTCACACACGCGTTTTTCTCGCAGTACAAAGCTCTTTTTCAGACCGTGAAAAATCATTCGTTAGCGTAGGATGTAATAATTCTAAGGCTGTGCTTATTATCTGTGAAGACAGTTAGTATGCAGCGCAGCAGAGAGATTTAGATATGTTCACATAATCGAGCAAGTGTTTTCTGACTAACCTACAGGGTGGGGGAGGGGAAAGAGAGATACAAAGGACGGATGCTGCGATCTCAACACGGCTTTCGATCGATTAGCGCTTCGTTGGATCACATAGAAGTGTGGTTTTTGATGTTTAATTGAGTTTTGTTTATTCGCTCTAAAATAAACTCCAGATCAAACGTCTGAATCTGATACTGAGAGATTTTCTCTACACATTCATGTGCTTTTCGTGCTTTCAGCAAAGTGATAGTTGAGTTGGCTGATGTAAAACATAATTTTATTGTGAATTTAATTGCGTTGTAGAAGGTCTCTTCGAAAAGCGACAGAGATTTGAGCTTTTGAATGTTACTAACACTCTTATGGAAAGTTCTTGTGCAGCGAATAGGACCGACCGAATATTTATGTGTCGCCGTCTACTGCAAAAGAACCCATAAGGAATTTGATGGCTCAAAATCGAAAACGGAATCATTTTAGAGCTTTATGAGTATTTTTTAGCATGTGCATGAGTTCGATACCAGCCATAGTGATTGACAATGCTAATACAAAGGCGTTACCAATGTGCAAGCTTTCGGGAGCTAATACCGTGATTGAACAATAGTGTTTGCAGACTGAATTGATGGTACTAGTGATTATCTCTGATTTTCATGCTGACTATAAAGCACATCAGACTTCGTTGATAAACAAATGCGCATAATGGGCGTCAGTCGTGCAACCGGTTACAGAGCGCACTCCTGGATAGTGTGGGATGCTGGTTCGAGGCCCATCAGACGCCAAGTTTTGCACATCACTTTACATCAGCAGGCTAGTCTGCAAAACCGTACAGCCGCTAGAAGCGGTTAGATTAAAAGAATTTTATTTGAGAATTATCAGTCTGTTGAGAACGGTCTCAAAGCTATGCAAGAGCCACCTTTATTCATGAAGACGGGGTTGTTGAATTGAATAGTACGTGAAAAAGTAAATAAGATTGGGGAATCGCTCGCGGAAAACTATTTAGGGAAATACCGACGTGATAGCAGTGTGAACTCCTCAGAACTCAATACTAGTAGTTCAAATTAACTTTGCGTAAGCGCCTACGTTGAAAATAAAGTAAGTCAAATTCGTCTATCCCTTCAGAAAGATTTTAAATGTATGCTCTAAGTTATTAGTAACATTATTCAATAATAGTATGTATTCAATTCTACCAGCTGTTCACGTTGATGATTTTTAGGTGAGATTTTCAACATAAGGTTAATAAAGTCTCAGCTCAGCTCATCACCATCAAGCTGCTCCTTATCGAATAAGTGAACCGATTTCCAATGATGCAAGTGATTCCAATTAAAAGGTTAAACCATGACAGTATAAATCATAGTATTGTCAGAAAGAATGTTTTGAACTACTGCGAGGTTGGTACGTCAGTGATTTACGTACGTTTCGGGTACATTTACACGGACGTGTGAAGCTCTAAATGTCCTGAAATTTACTGTCTGGCAATATTGGGTGCCTATAACGTGGTTTTGTCAAACCAGACGATTGTAAGGTAATAAGCACAGTGCTAAAATCTATGTCACAAACAAAGGTTGAAGAAAAAGTTTTAGGGGCACCTTAGTAATCATGAGATAACTCCCATGCATATCATGAGAAAATTAGTTTCTTATGTGGAATTTTCTCACTACGGCCAAGATATTATTTGTCGTTATCTTCACCTTGTTGCAAGCCTCCGCCATGCCCAACGATACAATCGAAGTTCGTGTTTTATTGCGTCATTATTGGAGAGAAGATCTTCACAGAGAGCTGCAATCGGTGTAATAACAAAGTTTGAGGACTAACATGATCCAAAATTCAGCTGACCGATGCCAAATACTCATAGAAAACGATGGTCTTCATTTTTAAAAAAATTTCTTATTGTTTTTGTTAGTAATCCA